GATCAGTTGCAGATTTTTCCCCTCTGTTTGCCCATCTCCATGAGCATCAGTCATTAAACAGATATATTGTCAGAACTCTCAGTTTTGATGCTGTATGATACAAACAAATAATATATATGCATCTATGTAAAACGAACAGACAAATGACACACCCCTCGAACTCCCCTCTCCCACACATCTACATCCTGTAGACGCCGGGATGTACTCCCACATCCCAACGTCTACAGAACACAACGCATATCTTCCCCCCTTTGAATGAGACAGGAGCTGCCGGACATCTGTCAGACCGTTCACAGTCAAATCCCTGCACCTCCACCACAACAATAAATAAACTGACCAATGAACTAAACAACTGTACCAGATAGTCTTAAAATGTATTTTCTGAAAGAGCAGACCCGAATTCAGTCGCGTTTCCCTTCCTCTGCCGATGAGCCGTCTCTGCTTGACCCGGGTCTTTAAATACCTCAGGGGGCTCACCGTCCTGCCATTGCAACCACAGCCGGGCTGGGTAGCACAGCTGGAACCTGCTTCCATCCCCTCTCAAGGCCTGTGTCACGTTCCGAAAGGCGCTGCGCTGGCTCATTACTATGCTGGTGTAGTCAGGGAAAATCAGAACTTTGCTCCCCCTGTATTCCAATGGCTGCGTCCTGGCAAGGCATAAAATTAGTTATTTCGTCTGGAAGTGATGTATCCGGGCTATGATGGTGCGCTGTTTCTCACACACCGCCGGTTTGGGCCATAGAGAGCGGTGCATGCGGTCCACCTTCAGGGGATGCGGGAAATGTTGTTTTCCCAGTAGTTCGGGAATGAGCTTAGAAACAAACTCAGTTGGTCTCCCTTCCTCTGAGTTTTCTTTTATGCCAACAATTTTAATGTTATGTCTTCGGGAACGAGCCTCCAGATCCAGCAGCTTAAATTGCTGCTTGGCTGTAAGCTTTGTGAGCTCCCCACATTTCATCTCAAGTTCCCCTAGATGCTCCTCATGTGCGCTGGTTGCTTATTCTTGGCCGACCATGCGATTCTGCAATTCAGTCTGTGCAGCTAAAAGGTTGAAATTTAGCTTCGAGAGCATCAAAGCGCTCATCTAACTTCTCAAGAATTGGCTGACATACTCTTACAGAATTCCTTGCACATCTCGAGCGTCAGGGTTTTGTCAGCCGAAACACAGTCTCTGGGTTCGCTCACAGTTCCGTCGGTAGTGCCACTGCTAACATTTTTCCCAGAATTTATGGCTTTCTTCGATGGTGACATAATGCCCTAGACTAACCAAAGGTGCAGAATCACCAATGCCAGCTCAAAGGTGGATTTATCTTGGTATTTAGAAATGTATTTGAAGTTGTGGTGGTGAGCGCAAGCCAACACGTCTACATCTTACAGCTGCGCACTAGCATCCCCCAAAACTCCCTTTTAACAGGAGGAAACCTCCAGTACAACCAGGCTCAGTCTGAGCGGCCATCTGTCTTCAGAGATACAGAAAGAAGCAGAGATACAAAAGTTGGCCTCATCCCAGAAACACAGACAGGCAAGCTTTAAACCAGCTCCCATGCCAGAGGATGAAATGGAGCATATACAGTTAGTCACAGTAAGAGAAACAGGACAACAGTGAAAAACAGGCTCCAACATCTATAAACAAAGGCGTTGATGGCAGCAGCACAGCTGATATTTCAATCTAGGATGGAGTCACAGCCAAACAGGAACAGACCAGATGAAGCTACTATGATGAGAAAAGGCAGAGAGAGCATAAAGTAAGAGGTTCTACTGGGCCTGGGCAAAAAATCGATCCAAAGAATTAATGCACATTTTTTGTTGCGGGTAAAGAAGTGTAATCTTTTTTTATTTTTTAATGTAACGGTACATTTTAGGCTCCCCAGATTTTATTAGCTGAGGTGTTACTCTCAGGTTGCAGTTTGGCAAACGACAGCTCATCACAAAGCGGGAAAGGTTATAACTACAAGTGAAAAGTTTGTTCTAAAAAAAGGAATAAGGAATAATAATCATCTGTTGTTTGGAGCTGCAGGGCTTAAAGTTCTCCTGCATAGTGATGGATTTCTGGCTTGTATGAACTGTGGATTGTGTTCTGAAATGCATATTTTAAAACTATCAGAAAAGGTTTCTGGTCCAGATGGCTAACAAGCTAGCTGTTAACAGAAACACGGCTGCCAATAGCGCATAGTATAAGCTTCAAATGGCCAAGTACAAATTCTATTCTGGATTTAACAGGAAGCCAATGAAGAGAAGCCAGGATAGGAGAGATATGATCTCTCTTTTTAATTTTCATCAGAACTCTGGCTGCAGCATTTTGGATCAGCTGAAGGCTTTTAACTATAGTTTGTAAACCTCCTGATAATAAAGAATTACAATAGTCCAGCCTTGAAGTAACAAATGCATGGACTAGTTTCTCAGCATCACCCCTGGACAAGAGATTTCTAATTTTTTGCAATGTTTTTGATATAAAATAAGGAAATTTGAGAAACTTCTTGATAAGGGATTTAAATGACAGGTCCCTGTCAAAAATATTAGCAAGATCTTTTACTTTATCATATAAAATCATTTGAATCCCATCCAAATGAAGGGACTGACTAATGTGCCTCTTTTTTAAATGACTCTGGTCCAAAGACTATAACTTCTGTTTTGTCTGCATTCAGGAGCAGAAAGTTAAGTTATCCAGGTTTTTTTGTCTTCAAGACATGCCTGTAATCTATGTAATGGGTTAGCTTCATCTGGATTTATAGACAGATATAGCTGAGTATCATCAGCATAACAGTGAAAATTAATCCCATGCTGTCTAATAATTCTAGCGATTGGGAGCATATATAAAGTAAAGAGAATTGGTCCTAGCACTGATCCTGGTACTCCACAGGTAACCCTGGAGCATGAGGAATATTTATCATTAACACAAGCAAACTGAAATTGGTCAGATAGATATGATTAAAACCATTCTACTGCTGGTCCTTTAATTCCTACAAAATATTCAAGTCTTTCTAAAAGAAAATATTGATCGCTGGATCAAATGCAGCAGTGAGATCTAACAGGACAAGTGCAGATACACGTCCATTATCTGAGGCCATGATAATATCAGTTGTGACAATTCTCGACGGATCCTACCCTTATGCCAATGGATCTTGGAAAAATAGCCATCACTGTTTTTTGTGGCCTTATTAGCCCCATGGGTGATTGATAGGTTTTAGCTTCAGACAAACCATAATAACCTCCTATTTTATTTCATAGTAAATATATTTTATAGGGCGACAGTGGCGTTGGATGTAGAAGTTTGCCCTGAAATCGAAGGATTGACGGTTCAAGCCCCGACTCCGACTTTCAGTGTCGTTGTCTCCTTGGGCAAGACACTTCACCTGCATTATCTTCTGATGGTGGTCAGAGGGGCCGGTTGCACCAGTGTACGGCAGCCCCGCTTCTGTCAGTGAGTCCCAGGAAAGCTGTGGCTACAATGTAGCTTACCACTATCAGTGTGTGAGTGTGTGTGTGAATGGGTGAATGAATGTAGTGTAGAGCGCTTTGGTCAAGTCTCCTGACTTGAATAAAGGCGCTATATAAGTACAGGCCATTTACCATATAGTACCCAAATGCATTGTTGTTCCTCTCTACAGGATACCATCAGGAAATTGATGACTCAAAAAATCTTCTTTCCACACATATTATAATGTTTAATGATCTTTTATTAGCAAACTCTGACCCAGCAAAGATAGCGGTAAGTCTCAAGTAAAATATCAAATAGAAAATAAATAATATGGTTCAACCATCTGACCCCTCCTTTATGATGTCTGAGTTTCTTAAATCGGTCTGGTCAAATTTCTTTGTGTCTTCTGAGAATCTTTATTTGGTTTGGTCAAATGTCTTTTTGTCTTTTGTCTTACTTTGCTCTTCTGAGATGGGAACCCAGACAAGAGTTCCCAGATTAACAAAAACTTGCCTCTTTTAACGTGTCCAGAATGGGATTCTGCATTTCCATGTAAGGGACTGAAGGTGATCAACTCATCATCCAGAACTTGCAGTCCTTCCTGCATCCAGTACAGTCTAGACTTATCAACAACTGGCCCCAGCTAACAAGGGCTAAACCAACAGTTAAGGAAGTCATAGACATCATCATCTGCTGGCCTCTGGGAGGCTTTGAAACAGTCGATGCAGGTCCATCAGATTCTTCAACTGCTTCTTCACTGAAAAAAACAAACCAAAAATACTGCATATTTGCACCATATAGCTTAATGCTCTGAACTTCCATATCAATGTTTTTTTACATCACGTTTTTTCTCCCTCGCTGTTTACATTTGATCACTGCTGCACTTTATGGGATGGAAATGTTAATTTACTGTTTGGAAAGCTGAACTAAATGAAATTTCATTTTGTATACAATCTAACAACTGAATTCTTGTGTCACTGGGATGTTTTTATCACTGTACTCACTTCATTTTCTGGTTCAAACTGTTTTAAAGGGAATAAATCGTAGCCCTGTTGCCCTGCTGATAGCTTAATTTTTAGCAAAACAATAGGAAGGCTTTATCATTTAGCCCTGTTCATTCTCTTTCTTACCATAATGTTTATTTGTAATACCATAGAACAGGGAAATTCCATTAGAAAATTATTTAAGATCTGCTCAGCCTCTGACACATTGAGCTGGGGTCTGTCTCTTCCAGGCAGAGGTGTACAGGAAGCTCTGCTGAGGGTAGGGTGTCTCATTATTCCCTCATTTGCCAGACAGTCACTGTGGTGTTGGATGTAAATGTTTTACTTTCTATCATAATTATTTGTGAGGAAAACAAAATTAAGCCAGAATGAACTTCATATCTTCAGGCTGCTTAACATGATCCATACACTGCTCAACTCAAGGACAGAGTTTGGTTCTTTTATGTGAGGTGTCCTTTATTTAAGCACCAATAGAAAGTCTTTCTGCTGTTTGTCTTTCAGACCGCCTGCAGGATTATGTTGGAAAAGAGGAGGATTTCTCTGACCAGCAGCTCTTTGGACAGGAGAGGAATTCCAGTTTGGGCCAAGAGGAACCAGAAGCTCTGCAGATAAAAGAAGAGCAGAAAGAACCAGAACATCCCTGGACTAAAGAGGAAACCATGGAGCTCCCTATAGGTGAGAACGAAGAGCAGCTTGTTCTGAAGCAGAAGACGGAAGAGAAACCTTTCCCATGTTTTACTAGCCTGGGTGCCAGTCCGAACTTAGTCCCGCCCACAAGGTTTGAGTTCGGGGAAGTTCGGTCTGGCTCTGCTCCATAGTAGCGCGAGTATTAAAGCCCACTGTCAGGCGATCCAATCAAATTGTCAGGGCGGGCTTTATACGATGATGGACAGATGATCAAGAGTAACGTTATCAACCACGTGACCAATGCGCGCTTGGGTGACAACAATAATGGCTGCCGCTGGAGAGTTTGGGTGAGTAGATTCTGCTATTAGGTCTGTTCTAGAAGATATCGACAGCAAATTAATTTTAAAAGAGGAACAGAGAAACGCGATCAGGGCTCATCTTCTTATTCTAGGCGTGAAACTGCACGCTTTGATTTTTGTGGACAACAACTATGCCTCGCTTAACATACATCACGCACTCCGTTGCTCTTATTGGTTGTAGGTCTATCCAATTGAGTGCAGAGGCTTTTTTTTCCCTGGTTCGTTCAAAACACGCCCCATAATCACAGCTCTATGGAGCAGTATCAGACTCAGATTCTGACTAGAATTGAGTCGGACTACGTCAGGCTAATGTTTTACATGTAGAGAAAACTTCCTTAAAAAAGAACATTTAATGGATCAAATGAGAACTCGCACAGGTAAGAACATTTATGAATGTCCATTCTGTGGAAAAATTTTCATAAAGAAGTGTGATAGGCTCATCAGAATTTAAAGCCACCAACAAATCTCTGAAAAGCATTCCTGCATTATCCATGGTTTTATTTTCTCTATATTTCATTTGATTAAACAGAGAATCTCTCCACGGCCTCTTTTACTAAAACAGGGGTCATGACACTTGACCATTAATGTGCAAGAGCTTAGAGAGCAACGGGTGAGGCAATTCTCAGCAGTTATGCTCTTCTTCTTGTAATACCGGTTCAGCAAAAAGTTAAAGGGCTATTCCACCTCTTTTCTTAAAATCTTAAATGTTGTTAATCTGCTCTTCTTTAAGAATTATAGCAATCAGACGTTTCTAACCTGGCTTATATTATTCCAAGTAGGGCTGGGCGATAAATCAAATTAAATTATTTCATGTTTTTAAAAGTCCACAATTTGACATTTTGCTAAATCATAAAATCAAGGAAGCCTCTTCTTCTGCATTTTTTACTTGCACTTTTGCTTCTCTACATATTTCCTCCTTCCGCCTGGTAGCCTCCTGCACAGTTTACTCACGCCATGGCCGCTGCTCAATCGGAAGATTTGGTACAGAGAAAAAGGACTCGTGTTTGATCGATTATTTGGAAGTTGTTTGGCTTTGACAAGGCCGATTTGGAGCTGTATGAAAAGTTGGTTTATTTTTTACAACTACTACAGACTTTTGGTCCAATTATATCGACATGAACTGGGCTCTCAGCAGCTGCTGTTTAACAAACCACCTACTTGTCAGAAGATCAATACAAGTTGACTGTTTGATAAATTATATATTTCAGCAAATTAATCTCTTTTTTTTTCTTGCATTTCTACTGGATATATGGATGTGCATTTTTATTTTACCGCTAAAAAATCTACTTATTTTTGCTGGGTGAACTTTGCACGATATATTTTTGAATAAGTTAAACGTATTTCAAAAATACATGCTTGTAGTTTTTAATACTTCAATTAGAATCGATTAAAAATGTAATCCTCCACTATGATGACAAAAAAAAATCAACAATTAATTTTTTAGCCATATCGCCCAGCCCTAATTCAAAGATAAAAACAGAATTTTTAAACCTCCTTTTTTGTTTTGTAAAAGCTCTTTCTCCCTTGTGAAACTTTAATAAAGAGCCCTGGAAGGGCTATCTATATTTATTTAGCATCTTTTTTGCTGTTAAATTCAGCTCCTACACCGTAAAGGTAAGGGACATTCAGTACAATTCTTCGAGCTGATTGGGTACCCACCTCCCATGTAGAGCTCCTAGCCCAGGGGTCTGCAACCTTTCATATCCAAAGAGCCGTTTTGCCCAGAGTACGACCAAATAAAAGTTGTTTAGAGCCGCAAATAATACCATGACTTTTTCTAGAAAACCTTTTTTTTAAAAGCTTGTATAGGAAATTAGTTGTTAGCATCTCAAACAATAAAATCATATATTTTTAATGTTAAAACATATAATTCTCCAGCTAATTCATAGAGAAATGTCTCTGAAAATATATTTCTGGTTCTTTTAAACTCATTCTCTTCCATCTTATAAAAAACGCTAAAGCTATTGATACCGGTATATATTATAGTAAATTATTTAGCTCTTTCTATACATTTTAGCCAGTATTAAGAGCCGGTGGAGAGGGTCCAAAGAGCCATATGTGGCTCCGGAGCCGCAGGTTGCAGACCCCTGTCCTAGCCAATCACAGCAGCAGTAGCAGCTGAGACAAATCAGATTCTTGATTTGTTTTACGGTGTTAACTGATAATCAAATTCTTACCAAATCCTGTCAAGAGGAAAACACAAACATCTTTTTCACCCTTAAAGGCATAAATCGTGTCCTTTTGTTCGTTTTTCTAAAAGAAAGAGAGGCTATTCCAGCTGATACAGGAGCAGACATATTTGTTTTAGGTCTGCAACTAACGATTATTTTAAAAATCGATGAATCGGACAAAAAATTATTTTAACCTCTTTATTCCAAAATAAACATTTTAGACAGAACAAACAAGCACACAAGTACAGGTTGCTCATTAACTGTACTGGTGCAATATGAAAAATAAATGTTTGTGTTAAAATTACGCAAACTTACATGAGGAATGTAGCTGTACATCCACAAAATATAGGGTACTTTGTTTCATAAAGCGCAAAAAAAGACGGGGATTTTTGTTTTTAAAAGCCCCTAAGGCAGGGGTGTCAAACCGGTTCCACAAAGGGCCATGTGGCTGCAGGTTTTCTTTCCTACCAAGCAATAGCACACCAGACTCCAGTCATCTCATCAAGTGAGTCCAATCTGAACATGATGACTTGATGAGATGACTGGAGTCTGGTGTGCTATTGCTTGGTAGGAAAGAAAACCTGCAGCCACATGGCCCTTTGTGGAACCGGTTTGACATCCCTGCCCTAAGGGGTTCAAACAATACGTCCCCCCATTTCAACAAATTAGTTTTTTTTAGACTAGAAGAGTTCTGCCTTTTAAAACAGGAAAGTATAGCAGTTAAAGTTGCTGCTTGAGAAAATACTGAACCATAGATCTTGCTGGATTTTATTCTGCTTTACTTCCATAAACTGCATAAATTTACTTTATCTTTGCCAGAAGATTTAAACTTTAAAAGCCTTGCCCTCATAATTTGCAAGTTAATTTATTTATAAAGAAAATATAAACGGTTCTTAAGCTAATTCAAATGAAAGTAAAAGTAAAATAAGTAGCCAACCTTATCACTGTCTGTAACCTACTAACACGGTAAGGAAAGCATCAGATGAGCTACCTGAGAAACTAACGTTACGTTTCCCCACTTTAAAACCAAACAAACATGGTCGCTCATCCTGCTGATGAGCTCTCTTCACTGCCATCGAAGGCTCCAACGTGTTTTCTTTTCAGGTGCTGCATCATAACAGCGGTGCTTCCGTGCCATGTTCATTTGTTTTTACAAAAGTTGTTACGACTTTTTTCACTGTACAAAGCGCAGGCTATTTTAATTATTGTGATCAATTTGCGCCGTCAATCCCGGCGCATGCGCGCTTCATTTGCAGTCTGGACGCTGAGGGTGAACATCCTGCGGCTCTGACTGCAGCGCTGAGAGGGACTCCTGTGGGAGAGGGAGAACGGGGTTGGGATGGGGGAGGCGCCCCACGGCAGCAGCTGCCGCTGGAGGACAAGTTTAGGAACGATACATGCTTTTACGTAAGAGTCTCCAAAAGCCGCCAGTGACACCGTAAAAAGTCGCCAGATTTGTCGCTTGTCGCTTTTTTGAAAAATAGTCACTGGAGGGGTCTGAAAAGTCACTAAATATAGTGACAAAGTCGCGGAGTTGGCAACACTGCGCACCTGCGACGCTGACTCGCTCTGCCGTATTTTTTCCCCCATTTCAGTCAAGCAGCAGTGATGATGACGGCGGCGGATGACGCATTAATCGCGCGACACAACTAATCTATGATGAAATTCGTTGCCAACGCTTTTAAAAGTCGATTTTTATCGATTTTATCGATTCGTTGTTGCAGCCCTAATTTGTTTAGCTTCAGCCTTCTGCCTCTAGTTGAGATGATGTCGTCATACACGTCTCTGCATTTCAAATTGTTCAAAAGGAAAATTTGACTTCATCATTATTCTATTGTCATCCTGTATGTTATTTTAATGCTTTAGATCTCAGGTTTATCACAGTGATGCACAGTCTTTTAAACATTGACTGAGTCATCTAATAGGTGGAGCTTGAAATGCAAGAATTGTTTTGATGAGAATAACAAAAGGTTTGTCACAGGAATGTAGAGTGGATTAGTTTTTACTCTACGTAAGCTTCAGAGTAAAGTAGAAATAAACTGCGGAGCTGAAAAGACTGAGCTTGTGTTTTGTGATTGAAGTCAACATTTCTTCTACAGAATGGAAAAATTGTTATCTATGTTAACTTAACCCTGTTTTTCTTCAGATGTTTTGCATTAGCAATATTGTGTCTTAAAGGGGAACACGTTTTTGTTTTTTGTTTTTTACATTGGGCCCTTGATTTTATGTGATTACATCATGTTCTACTCACCCATATGAGTTTTGTGTCATTTGGAGCCGTTCTGAAGATATTCTGTTAGGTTATATCCAAGTAACGTCTTCCTATGGGCAATGAGTTGAAGGCACAAACTAAACTTTTAATAATTTATTCTTTATGGTACGCCAGCATTCATAACATGTAGGCCAATCACTTGGATATTACAAAACTGAATATCTTCAGAACGGCTCCAAATGACACAAAACTAATATGGGTGAGTAGAACATGATGTAATAACGTAAAACCAAGGGCCCAATTAAAAAAAACAAAAAAACAACTGCATTTCCCTTTAAGAAGAGGTGCATTATGTCTGTTTGCAGTCTAGCTCTGCACTGCGGTCAGCAAAGACAGAATGCTAGATAAAAAGCTGGATCAGACCAGAATCGAATGGAGCTTTGGCTTTTTGAAGTGCACCTCCCTTTTATTTTGGCCTTCTGTGATAAATGTGTGTGCATATCCTCGTTAGGGGCTTATCCATAGGGTCACAGTGGAGCTGGTGACTCCACTGCTGTGAAAATATTGCAAATATTCAGTTCCATCCCCACAGCCTCCACTCTGGGTCTCTGAGTAAGACCCTTAACCGCCGATTGCACAGCTGACCGCTCCCCAAGGGGATGGGTTAAATGTAGAGGTAGTTCTCCAGTATGAGATCAATAAAAGGAAAAAAAAAGATAATAATCCTCGACAGTTGAGCAAAAAAAAAATAATCAAAAAAATAGTTTAAACATTTCTTTAGTGGTTAGGATTCTGCAGGGAATCGGATTTTAAAGCTGTGATGATAAAAGTGGAGGTCCAAACCTCACCAGATAATGGATAATCAATCAGTCTGTTATAACCTTATGTTGTGGTGTCAGAGCTGAAGTGCAGTCTGGGTTATGTAATTCCAGTCTGTTTATATGTAGTTAGATCAATGCAAGGTTGATTAAAATGAAGCGTCCTGTCTTTAACCTACAATAGAAACTCTTTCTGCTGTTTGTCTTTCTAGACTTCCTTCAGGATGATGTTGGAAAAGAGGAGGATTTCTCTGACCAGCAGCTCTGTGAACAGGAGAAGAATTCCAGTTTGGACCAAGAGGAACCAGAAGCTCTGCAGATAAAAGAAGAGCAGAAAGAACCAGAACATCCCTGGACTAAAGAGGAAACCATGGAGCTCCCCATTAGTAAGCAGGGAGAGCAGCTTGTTCTAATGCAGGAGACTGAAGATACAGGAGATAAACCTTTCCCATGCTTAACATGGGGAAAAAACTTCATAAAAAAAGAAAATTTAATGGATCACATGATAATTCACACAGGTGAGAAGCCTTTTGAATCTCTGTCCTGTGTAAAAATGTTCAATGAGAAATCTAATCTTGATACATACATCAGAATTCATCAAGGTGAGAAACCTTTCTCCTGTATGATTTGTAACAAGAAGTTTACTAAAAGGAGTTATCTCACTTCTCACATCAAAATTCACACAGGTGAGAAGCCTTTCCCCTGTACCAGTTGTAACAAGAAGTTTACTAAAAGGAGTTTACTGGCTATACACATTAGAATTCACACAGGTGAGACGCCTTTCCCCTGTACCAGTTGTAACAAGAAGTTTACTAAAAGGAGTTTCCTGGCTATACACATTAGAATTCACACAGGTGAGACGCCTTTCCCCTGTACCAGTTGTAACAAGAAGTTTACTAAAAGGAGTTTCCTGGCTATACACATTAGAATTCACACAGGTGAGACGCCTTTCCCCTGTACCAGTTGTAACAAGAAGTTTACTAAAAGGAGTTTCCTGGCTATACACATTAGAATTCACACAGGTGAGACGCCTTTCCCCTGTACCAGTTGTAACAAGAAGTTTACTAAAAGGAGTTTCCTGGCTATACACATTAGAATTCACACAGGTGAGACGCCTTTCCCCTGTACCAGTTGTAACAAGAAGTTTACTAAAAGGAGTTTACTGGCTATACACATTAGAATTCACACAGGTGAGACGCCTTTCCCCTGTACGTTTTGTAACAAGAAGTTTACTTCAAAGGGTAGATTGGCTCGTCACATGAAAATTCACACAGGTGAGAAACTTTTCTCCTGTACCATTTGTAACAAGAGCTTTACTGAAAAGAGTAATTTGACTTCTCACCTGAGAATTCACACAGGTGAGAGGCCTTTCTCTTGTACCATTTGTAACAAGAGCTTTACTGAAAAGAACAATTTGACTTCTCACCTGAGAATTCACACAGGTGAGAGGCCTTTCTCCTGTACCATTTGTAACAAGAAGTTTACTGCAAAGGGTAAATTGACTCGTCATATGAGAATTCACACAGGTGAGAAGCCTTTCTCCTGTACAATTTGTAATAAAAACTTTACCGAAAAAGGTAAATTGACTCGTCACATGAGAATTCACACTGGTGAGAAGCTTTTTGAATGTCTCTCTTGTAAAAAAAGCTTCACCTCTAAGTTTAGTATTGATAGACACAAGGGGAGAAGCCGTTGTCCTGAATGATTTGTGACAAAGGTTTCAAATGATAAGGTAATTTCGGTTATCAGATGACATTTATTCATGCATGATCTGTAATGATTTTTATTTTTGAATTAAAAAAAACAAAAAAAACATTTGTTTCAAATAAGTTACAGCAGTTAGACGCCACAGGAATTAGCAGTAGAGGCGTTTTCCATGTTTGACTGTTGATAAAATGTCTCTACAACCTCCTTCACCTCATTACATGAGACACTCACGGGTTGATGGTTTTTTTTGTGAAAGCCATAAATTAACAGCTCTGTTTATATAGAAACTAGAACAGATAAGGTGTTATATGCTTTTTCTGTGGCAGCTCCTAAGCTGTGGAATGATCTGCCTCTGAGCATAAGACAGGCCTCTTCTCTTGCTGTTTTTAAGTCCCTTCTTAAGACTTATCTTTTTTCCTTGGCTTTTAGCACAATTTTAAGGGTTTACTTTGTTTTATTCTTTTTGTATACTAATATGTATTTTACACTTGTTTTTTCTCTATTTTATAATTTTATTGTATTTTATGATTGTGTACAGCACTTTGGTCCTGTCCGGTGCATAAAGTGCTTCATAAATAAAGTTGGTATGGTATATTGTAAACCTGGTAAATATTCAGGTCCTGGTTGAATATGTGGATGTGAAAATCTGAAAGGTAATAATTTTGGGCTTGATTAAATTAGATTTAAATGGCCAAAAAAAGAATGTCACCTTAATACAAAAAAAAAAAGTATAAAAGTTTAAATTCACAGTTTTTCTGAATGAATGTAAATAAAATCACAAGTTTTATTTTTAGGACTAAGAAAAGTTTAGCTGCATGATTGCTATTAGTTAGATATATTCAAAAACAGTCTTTTATTCAGATGAAAATATCCTCGGATAAAAATAAAAGCAAAGCTAGGACAGATTTAATGTGATTTGCTCTGTTTTGCTGATGTTTTTGGAGGATTTTATAAGAGATCAGCTGCAAATGATCAGAGTTTTTCTAATTCAGTGTCTTGTTGGCTTTCATTAGCAATGCATCAATCAGCCCTGCTACGTGTGTTGTTGAAACCAGGCCCACCAAAACTCCAACTGTTTTTGGCACAGTGTTAGAGCTATGGTCAGTAGATATTAGGACGAAGTAGATCATCTATAGAGTAGTCTCAGATGAAGATTTGGGACATATATAAATGTGTGTCAGTCTCAGAGTTAGTCAGGTACAAGCTAATCAAGTGGGAATACTTAAGCACTTATTGTTTTGCTCTTTTTATTTTTCGGACTTTAACTAGTCCCACAGTTTTCAACCGATTTCAACAACTTTGGTATCAAAACGTTCAGCTTGTTCAGAAGAATTCTGTCTTTTGGTAAAGAAATTAATGTAGTTTTCGCGATATTCAGCTTTTTCTGCGTTTTTTTTATCCCATTTAAATGCATGTAGAATTCTCAGATTTCAGCAAAATTCAGCCAAAACTTCACCATCTTTGACCTTTATCTACTTCATCATACTTTCAGCTAGAAACACCATTCAACTTTTAAAATGTTCTCAAAACACTCAACAATTACTGTTTAAGTCAGCTTTTTTATATCTATTACAGTTTTTTGTAAAATTGTGATTAAAATTTTATTAAAAATTTTCAGGTTTTCAATTTTATAATTCTTCAACTGTCACAGTGCGTGCTCTAGTTTGTGAGCTGTTCTGGTTTTTCCAAACAAATGATTCTCAATCCCTAATTTTTCACTCAATTGAAATAAATTTTATATCAAAACAAAGGTATTTTTGTCAGGATTCAGGAAATGTAACCCTCTTTTGTGTGGGATTTACAGTTTTCCTACAGTTTGGCCCAGACAACGAAGAAGTCCACACTTCCCCAATAGAAATCCGATGAGAGACTTTCCAAAAATATCAGGCGAAAATCCAAAACGACACATATTTTCGTATCGCTCCCATTACTTAACAATTTGATGTACTAACATGAAACTTGGTATACACCATCTCAAGATGCTTCTAGCGCTCACATTGAAGGACTTTTTTCGATATCATTTATGGTTTAGCTGTTTAGCTGACTTGTTAGGGCATAGGAAAACATTGATTCTAAGAAAAATCCTCAGACTCAAAAAAAACATATTACATAGTCACAGTGGCCAAATGATTTTTAGTAGAAACATGAAAGCTGGCACAGTTGAAGCTGATGGATGGCTGACGCCCACAATGAAAGAATTTTTTGAATACCTTATATGGTTTTGGCTCACCACTCGTTTGTTCGGAAGGGTTTTTCAGCACCTGAAAGCTCAGTGAAGCTGAGGAGCTGCATAAAATCCAATGAGACGAGCAGGTGGGACAAACCATTTTGTTTTTCTTTCCATTGGGATTGTAAAAGAGCTATGGACATGAAAGTTATCCCAATCGGAGACAAGAGATAGCTGTCGCTTAGACTGAAGGAATTTTTTAGATACTATTTACGGTTTGCCTTCAGCAATCGTTTGTTCTGAGGGCTTGTTTGGCTTTTGAGAGCTCAGCTCTAACATGAAGTTGCAATACCTGAGTGAAGTTGCCCCCCCCACCACCACCACCTTCTTCAAATCACACAAAATTAGTTTCAAACGTTTGTGCTGGTTTTTGCAGCAAATATTTTCGTTTGTGCCGCTATCATTTTAAAGATATAAAGAAATATTTCTAAAGGTCGTCAAAGGTCAACCATCTGCCCCACTTTCTCCACATTAGACAAAATTGGTGTCAAACGTTTGTGCAAGTTTGTGCAGCAAAAATTTTAGTTTGTGCCGCTATCATTTTAATGATATAAAGAAATATTTCTAAAGGTCGTCAAAGGTCAACCAGCCCCCCCACCTTCTTCAAATCAGACAAATGGGTGTCAATTAACTCAGCTCCGTTTGTGTTGGTTTGTGCAGCAAAAATTGTCGTTTGTGCTGCTATCATTTTAAAGATATAAAGAAATATTTCTAAAGGTCGTCAAAGGTCAGCCAGCCCCCCCACCTTCTTCAAATCAGACACATGGGTGTCAATTAACTCAGCTCCGTTTGTGTTGGTTTGTTCAGCAAAAATTGTTGTTTGTGCTGCTTTGGCTTTGAAGATATTAATGAAAATGTAAAGGTCAAAACGTCAACCAGCCCCCCCACCTTCTTCAAATAAGACAAAATTAGAGTCAAAGGTTTGTGCTACGTTTGTGAAGCAAAAATTTTCGTTTGTGCCGCTATCATCTTAATGATATACAGAGATGTTTCTAGAGGTCATCAAAGGTCAGCCCCCCCACTTTATTCAAATTAGACAAACAAAGTGGCGCGTGTATGACGTCATCCGTGTGCGCTGGCTACCATTCCTTCATCCTGTCCTCTGAACTGCTGCTAGTTTTACTCACATACCTGGAAGATGTCTAGTGCTACTACCACAGATGATCTCTCTCTGGAAATGGAATTGAACGATTCAGATTAGCTAGCTGAATAAATAGAAGGGGTAGATCGTAGCCGCCTGTGGCCCAGGCTGCCTGTCACAACTCCAGTCCGTCGTGGATGATGTCATACACACATAAATGTGCCGACTGAGTGAAATCCATTGACCTCCGTTTATTTAACCAGGATGAATAGTTGAACCCTTTTTTCCACAACAATTTGGCATTGTCGGCAGGATTCTCCTTGACTGATTTTTTTCTGAGGACAGTGATTGTCAGAAGTGTCAGGTACCACCTGGAGGAAGCAGTCTTCCAGCCTCAATACCCCGTTAGAAGGTTAAGGGAGTGAGGACTTCTGACATCGAGGTCCCTGGAGGTCAGCAGGAGGATCAAAACCAACCATTCCTTTCTTGAGACGGTGAGATGAATCTTTTTGTCGGCACAGTTTAAATTGAATTTCAAAAACCAAATTACAAAACAACAGATTGTTAACAGATTTAAAGATTACTAGAAATCAAATACTAGAAAATTTGCTCAAAGTCCTCTTCTTCTCCATTAAAATAACCAAATAAATAAATGTAATCTAGCTAAAATAAATAAACTAACTAAATTAAAGATTAATAGGTTAATCATTTTAATGCACTAAAATTAGTATAATACTAAAGAATATACATATAAAATAAAAGATTTTCATTTGGGGACACGAAAGGCAATATGTTTTTTTTTCCACCTGTGAACCAAAAGACCTCGCATAGGAACGTGAGGCTCTCTCTAAGACTGAGAGGAAGGTTGTAGGTGCCACCAGAAGGCATTTAATTTTACTGAGACGTCGGTAATCTAGAGTGGGATCCCCCCCAGTTATCCAGGTCGGCACCAGAGGATTGGTGTGCATATTGGAAACCGGTAAATTACCTGTAGATAATGGGACAGATTTTACAGTTCTAGGGCAGTAGAACAAAGGCAAGGTTCCAGGGAATTGTCAACTGCCCAAGGAGAAATTTTTTATTTAATGCTGCAATAGAAAATGTTGAAGATAAGATAAACAAATATGATGAGAAGTCAGAGGCTAAAAAGAAGGTAAGGTAATAAGATTTACAGATTTTGAAAAAAAAAATTGAAAACATAAAAAAAAGCAAAAAAATAACATTGAAAATGATGGATGGATGAGAGGGGAGTTCAAAGAAACTCTCAGCTCCAGAGAGAAATGGGTTAAAATAAGAATTCAAAAAGGCAGTGTTTCAACCTGATACTAAACATCTTTACACTGTGTTATATATTAAACTTACAGTAAACTATGTTATAATAATGAATTTTAATTTCAATGGTGCTTTCAAAGAAACAAAACTCTAAACTTTTTACAGGAAATTAATAACTCATAGCTAAAAAAAACTATTAAATTATTACTGAAAAAAAAGTAAGTAGGGCATAAAATAAGGTGAAATTAAAAGTTTAAAAACCGAAAAAACTTGTAAAATGGAGGAATTAACCTAAAAGTAAATTACAAAAAAAACAACAACATTAATTAGAGAAAAGTAAGGTTGACGAGAAAAGAAAATATAAGAAAATTAGATGAGAAAAGTATGTGACGAGAGGGAAAGGTGACTTAAAGTGACTGAAGGATGAATTGGGGCGACTGACGAGACAACATTTCCTTCCTGAAAAAGGCTTCTTCTTTTATATGGTAAAGATGAAAAACTTTATTTTATATTTTTTTATTATTATTACTATTATTATTAATTTGAAAAATTTAAACTCTTCCTTAAACTAACCATTGTTTTTTTTACTCCCTGCCCTTTAAACATGGACTCCCTGAATGGAGCCGCTCCTTGTGGAATTCAGACCTGAAGGAGTGTTCTCTCCGGTGCTAAGTTATTTTTTAATTATTGAATTATTTGTTTTTCTTTGAGAAGTAGCTGAACTTTTTGGACTGAGGTGGGGGAGCTCCAGGACTGAAACCGCCTGTTGGCAGCAGTCAGTAAAGGGTAAAGTGATCAACCATATATTTTATTTTATTTTCCATTTCTATAGAGTTCCAACTATGCAAGAAAAGCT